ATGTACCATGATATGCAGAATGAGAAAGCTGCACATGAATATTAGACTGAAATCTTGAGACATTGTGGTTCAGTGGTGAAACCACAAACTATTCAGCTCAGTTAACAGAAGGAGAGAGACAGAGGAGTGAGGAGCAGCAGGTTCAGCACCATGAGGAAACCACTTGGTAGCATTTTGTAATGGTGGGGGAGGAGGAGAGTGTGTTTCCAGTGCCTGAGGCATCATTTTCCACACAAAGACCTTTCCCAGTGTACTGCCTCGAGTACATCCTGCACTCCACCAAGGCACTCCACATTGCCAGGCACTGGCTCATCATATGCCCTATAACTTGCAATAATTAATTTCCCTTTCCTTGGAAAGACTATGTGACATCAGTGAATATCATTGACACAGTGAGGTGGCAGCAAATATCCTGGTTCTGCTGTTAATAATGCAATACAGGACCCGGAAAACAAAGTGCCTTGTAGTTTAAAGGTCTGGGAACATGATGTGCATGTAAAAAATTGGTAGTACAAACTCATTTGTTCTTTTGCAGTTTAGGCCATATTTTTTCTGTGGCTTTCAGCAAATCCCTCAGGTTTTCTGAGCCCAGTCTGTAAAATCTGGCTTGCAGTCTTTTGTCATGTCCCACATAAGGGACCATTAAAGATTGATTCATTTGTGTTTGAAAATTGCTGTGAAGATGAAAACTGCAGTATAAATTCTGCCTATTGTTCCAGTGGCCTCCTGATTTCAAAGGCTGCCAGGGTTAAAGTAGCACTAGACTGATTTAAGTGGAAATCAAGACACAGTGTGGCTGATGCAGGAGTCAGACAGCACATGTTCAACCAGCAGCAGCCTGAGAGGAAGCGATATAGAGAGATAATACATAAAGCTCTTCAATGCCATAAAGTTGCACATAAAATAAATCTCATTATTGCCTTTTGCACTCTCTGGCCACTGCTCCTACAACTCTATTGGGCTCTGGCAGTAGTGAGAAACATATTAATGAAACAGAAGGGTATCTGGAAAGGATAAAGTGTCAGGTTGTATGATGAGATACACAGACATCCTTTGGAGTTTACCAAGAGTGAGACAGTAATATGCACAGAATATGCTCAGAATAAAACCCTGGCCTTTGCAAGCAGATAGTGAAACATCAGAGGGGCAAAGAGGTGGGAAGACAAGCTCACACTGTGACACACAGTGACTCTGTCAGAGTGCATGAAAGAAGCTGGCAAACGCTTCATCAGTGCCTTTCATAAACCTGTCAAGGTAAGAAAAGAGGTGAATACCAAAGCAATGGATACCAGTGTGCTTGCCTTGATAAGAGCCAGAGCACAAACCCATGACTCCACCCCACAAGGGCACAGCTGCTTGTTGCTGCAAACAGGAAAAGGTCCAGAGGCTTTCATTCAGATTTTCTATCTAAGAAACGAAATAGCAAAATTAACAGGGTTAATTAATAACCTTAGAAATCCATCATTAATTAAAAACCAGTACTGGCTCATTGAAGTCCAAGGATATTGGCACTCAGCGTGTGGATGATGATGCTTGAGACAGAGCCCTAATTACCTAATTGAACACGCTGTTGATCTGTGCAGCCTCCATGGCCCAGGAATGGGAGTGCCTCCCTCTGGTGTGTTTGTCCCTGTGCCAGTGGGAGATCTGAGAGCCATGGGGAAACCTGGGCAGCCTGAACGCAGGAGCTGCCCCTGGGAGCTGACCAAAGCCCAGAGATATCTGTAGAAAGCACCCCATGTGTAAAACAAAAGGTGTTCTAACTTGTGTTACAGTGTTGTTACCATCACTGCTCTCCTTTCTGGCTGTTGAGGTGACCCATGGTGGCAGGACCCATAGAGCCACTCACACCTGCATGGCAGCCTGGCCTCACAGCTTAGAGCAGGACAGCCTGCTCCCTCTATCAACCCAGAGACCTGGAATAAGATGGAAACAACACACAAACATGGGGGAAATGCCATCCAAGTGGTGAGAAACTGCAATGATTCAGTAAGGTATCTGACTCAGGGGTGTCCTGCTGAGTGCTGGCTGCCGTGCGGTGACACAAGGTGTGGGAGCAGCTTTCCCAGCACACAGGGAAAACCAAGACTTTCTGGTGTGCATGGGTGCAAAACAGCCCAGGACAGCCCTGGAAGCTACTAAGATGCCACTATGCTTCCTGCAGTAGCCCTTTTCCTCCACATATTTCAAGGACTAAGAATAATTTATTAAAACATTGCCTTTCAGTCACAGCATTTTATAGGCATTGCCAAACAAAGCTTCCCAATCCCTCTGGAAGGTGAGTGCTATCCACGTTTTATGGCTGACAAAGTCCTGGGGAGATGAAAGGCTGGCTGCTCCCAGCCTTGTCCAAATGGGCAAGGAAAGATGCAGGGGCCATAGAACCTCCCCTTTCCTCTTGCATGGCCTTTCCTAGCCCAGCTATCCCACCAGGAAAGAGAGCCTGGGAGTTCTGGTGTATCTGTCTGTCCCTGTGACACACGGGAACTTTTCCAGAGGGATGGGATTGTGTGTTTCACCACACCCATGCCAGGAGCAAAGGGACCTGTCACCAGGACAGAGAAAACAGCACATGCCACCTGACAGATAATTTGTGTGCTCCAGCAGGGAATTTTTTGCACCCAGGAGTTTCAGGGCTGACTTTGCCCCTGCCAGCAAGATGGCATGACTTAGGGTTGGTTGAAATGTGCTGTCTGTAAGTGAGCAGGCCAAGTTTTCATCATCTAAAACAGGGAGATGATCAGGGTCAAGACATTGGAGTGACTGCTCATAACCAAGCTGTCTTATTAGATTGCTAGCTCCAATTTTGGACCCAGATGTTGTAGCATATAAAAACTGACATAAATTTATGGTAGAAAAGTTGCCTTTGGGCTCTCTAGAGTCCATCATGAGCAGTGCACACAGTAATTTAATGTTTCCTCTGGGCATCCAGCATAAACACTGCTTTTATGTAACATACCTACACACATGCACATATGTGCAGGAGGATTTGGGAATACTTCCCCTGAATTCTGAGTGGAAAAATTAGTCTACCTGAATGCCATGTTGAATTTCATTGTGCTCATATCACCACACATCTGGCACAGCTGTGGCTCTCTCTGGCAGACTGACAGGCTGTGCCTTCCACAACAGCTACATGGCAAAGGCCTTCTGTTTGTAATGCTGCCTTCTGCAGCCCTCTCTTTGGGCTCCTCCCCTAAGTCTTTGGATCATATAATCCACACTGTTGTTTCAGTTATTCCTTTTTCATCCAGCAGATAAATTGTTATGAAGACCAACTTTGCCTTCCCCTGACCACAGTCTCTTCCATATAGTGAAGATAAAGATTTAGACAAGCCACTCATCTCAAAAAACATCTAGGAAAGCATTCATACTATTTTAAAAACTCCCTGCCCAACATCATAGTAGCAATTTCCTCAAAACCCCAAACCATAAAGAAAGTCAACAAATACAACATCACTGAGAATCAGAAGAAAGCAATAGTATTGCTTGGTATTCTGCAACCACTTCAAATTCAAAACAAACCAACCAAAACCGCTTTCCTAATTCTCTTTTTATCCTTTTCCCTAGGCCTTTTCCATAAGGTGCCTAGTGGAAAGTAAAGCAATAGTTTTATATAGATAAATCCATAGCATTGAAAGGAGTCTGATCTCTTTTCCCTTGATGCTCAAAGACTGCACCAGTCTATATGGTGTTTGAAAACCATGTGGGAAGGAGATCATTCTCTCTTAAATTCAATAGGCTTTTAGAATCACATTTATTCACTCCTATAGAGTTTTTCCATACGGGATTTCAGAGCCTTTTATACAAGCAGGTGCCCCCTTTTCTCCTCTTCTCTCCTTCCTTTGTGCTGGCTCTTTCATCAGCACAAAGCTGAAGTGAACAATAGTACACACTCAGCTTTACATCCAGCAACATCCAGGACTCTGAAGAGCAAAGAAACAAATACCCAACCGAGGGACTAAAGATAGCAAATTCAGTGTGGTGGTAACTTTACCTACAGTGGAAAGTTCTGGTGCTGGTGGAAGAAGGTTCCTTTCAGGAGCCAAAGAAGATGAGTACTGAAAGCTGGTTCTGATGTGGGCTGGCTATAAAATCCCAACTGAGTCACTCTGCCTCTCCAAGCTGCATTTTCTACAGCTGCAAAATGGGGTTTTAGCCCAGAAACACAGGTAGTGCTTTTCTAAGGCATTATAAAGGACTGCAAGGAATAGAAACAAATAACTATTTTTTCATGTGGGAGGGCAGGACCAAAGACAGAAGGGAGAAGAGCAAATACATTGAGAGGGAGTGTGGGGATAGCAGTTGGGACAATTTATTAATTTGGTTTCCATCTCATTCTCATAAACAACCTACAGCTGAGTGAATCTGCTTGTTGATCAGTCTCTGCCTGCTGAGTGTTTTCCTGCACCAGGTCCTTGGTCCTGCTGCAGGCTGCCCCTTGCTACCCTGCCTGCAGCCAGCACCTCCACCCTGCCAGAGCTTGCTCCCACCTCCGGGGGCTGAGCCCAGCTGCTCCCTGCTCTGGTCCGTGGGGGCACAGGGGGTGACTGTGACTCTGCACCCTTCGGTCACTGCATCATCCTGTTTGCCCTTGCTCTGGAAACTGGGCTGGGGAATCACATATCCTTCCCCAGCTGACTTGTTACAGGAGGAGAAAGAAAACTGTTTTTCTCTCCCCGACTCAGATGTCCCTCAGAGAGATCACTGTGAAGCAGATGCCACCTGTGGGGCCTGGAAAGCAGGGAGGGGGAGCGGGGCAGGTCAAAGCCCTGTGTGGTGCTGTGCAAGGAAAGACAAGAGCTTGCATTTGTCCTCTTCTCACTGAATCTCTGGTGAGCCATGTCCTTGCCTGCTGCTCTAATCACTGATTACATGCCGTTTGCCTGTTGCATTAAAGCCGCTTTCCTAATTAATATCATTTTAAAGGGCGGGCTTGGCACGAAGGAGACAAGCTGTTTGGAACTCCAGCAAACACATTTTGTATGCGATCATCCTGAGCAACTCCTGCAGCCTTTCGATGGCGAGCAGGCAGAAAGCACCCGAGCTAATGAACTGTGTTTTAACCACCTGATGCTGGCCAAGGCTTTGATCTCTCAGGTTTGAGGCTGGGTGGAGGAGGGGAGGCAGAGCGCTCTGCCACGCTCCCCAGCACCACCAAAAGTGTTAATCAGCCTGCTCTGCAGTCTGCTGCAGAGTTTGCTTTATTAAAGCTCCCTGCTGCCTGCACACGTTGGCTGGCACAGGCTCGGAGAGAGAAGCAAGCCCTTCCCCAGTGCAGAGCTCAGTGCTGCATTGCAGTCTGCTGCCGGGGAGCCGCGGGTAGGTAACGCAGGTGGGGACGGGTCCTCCCTCGGCTCGCCTGCATCTGCAATCTCTGCATTCCTCTGACAGGGCAGCAAGGAGAGCTGGCAGCAAAACATGCCTTGTAGGGTGCTCTATCCAATTCCTCAGCATCTGGATAGCGTTGCTTGCGCTAGTCTCAGACGTAGTCTATACTGCCTGATGTGGTTTCTGTTCACAGTTACTCTAAAAACCTAAAAATTAATTTCCTTTGAGGTACTTAAAGGGGTAAGCATAATTTTATTTATTATTGTTATAAACTTACCTTACCTCTGCCTAGAGGTCCTCTCTAAGTCTGAGGATGCCATTGTGCTGTTGAAGCACTCAAATTAAATTCTGCTGCCTTTCAAGGACCTGGCAGCCTGAGTATTACAGGCTTTTTAGTTTTCCTATAGGTGTCTCATAAAGAAGATTGAGCAGGATTAAGTCACTTTTGGAGGAAATTGTAGGTGATTCAGTTAATTTCCTTTGTCCCCTCCTACCCCTCCTTCTCCCCCCCTCCCCAGTTAGGCTTTTTTCCTTTTCTTTATTTCTTCTGTGACAGCACAGAAATATTTTATTATTTCTTGAAGTTTAATAGCAAATAGCTGCTCTGTTTTGTAATATCTGTAACCACGCTGGATTTGTTGTTTTTAACAGACGATTTTTTCTGGAAGAAAGCTGGTATTTGTTTAAGAATTGTTAGGCATTGCATTTCTAATCTGTAAATATGCATGTGGAAATCTGATTATAATAATTTTGTTCTTTGTGAACAGCTGATTCAGGATTTCTTAGTTCCCCTTGTATTTTTCAGGTATGTATCTCAGCTGGTATTTTTTTTTCCTTTTGTGAAACAAGGATGGCTCAGATTCCTTCTCCTTCCGTGTTTCCTGGTGATACAGTACTGCAGTCTCTGCCTTACTCAGCTTATGTCTAATTGCAGAGCATTTAGCAAAAGAATTCAAATGCAAACTTTAGATGTGCAGTTAACCATCTATTACACTTGCCTTTGTTAGAAGATGTCATCTGAACAGCAAAGATAGGCCTGAAGATTAATTTATCTTTATTAGACTATGTGAAGGTGGGCTTGCATCAGTCTGAATCAAGAACTTGTGATTTGGTAGAGTTTAGGGAAAAGGAAATTTTCTTTCCACTGCAAAGCCAGGATATATCTGTGTAAGTGTGACATCTGTTGCAGCACTGCTTATTGACAGTCTTCTGGGACAAGCTGGCCAGAAGGACTGGATATTGTGGGAATTAAAACTCAGTGCTCGTATGGCAGCTTAACTGCTGAGTGCACACGCTCTGAAGGAAAAACATGATTTACCTAAGATGATCTACTGGGGCTGCATTTCTGGAGCTGTTGAAAAAAATCTCTTGACTGGTGGGAGTCCTGGCTTCCAGGTGCTTCCAAAAGCAAAGTCTCACTGTCAAGATGAAGGCTATGACAAAAGAAGCCAGATATTATTTCACTCTTATTTTAACCTTCCACATCAAAGTTTTCACATGACTAAAACGTTGGTGACACTTGACTACCCTTAAGGAATGGTAGGGGTTAACATAACGTAATATTCCTGCAAGGAAGACATGGGTAAGTGACATAGTTGTTTATGCTGTTAGTGGCCATTTTGGAGCAATTTTTCCTCATTGTTCAGATCCTACTTCAATTCACTTCTTCCAGTGACCCTTGCATGTTAATCCACCACACAGAAGCGTTGCAGTTTTAATTAAAAAGGAAATCTTTATCTCACTAAGCTTAGTCTGCCATCTGATCATGCAGTATGGTTTACAGACAGTATTATCTGTCTAATTTGCATCATAAAACCATGACTTCAGCAAGGCAGAAGACATTGGCAACCCCCAGCAAATAATGTTGCTCTAACCCAAACCAGGCGTGTTTTAAGCAAAACTCGACTGTAAGAATGGAGATGTGTGTCTCTCATGGTGCTGCACACAAGGAGGGTTACAGGGGCACACAGAGCTCAGTGGGATACCTCTTTAAAATAAAACCTGTAGACTGAGTTTGGAGCAGCTCCTGAAATTATATGCTCCAGCTTGACAACAATATAGGAATTTGAGGCAGGATTTACTGGATTAAATTTTTTTGCTTCTGGTATAATGAAGGCTAGTGGTGCCTACTGACCTTTAAAACCTGTGATCTTAAATACTGGCAGTTGTTGTGTCCCCTGTCGCTTGGAACTTCATTAATTAAATTGAGTGGTAAGCTGCAAGGCTGTGAACTGTCCTGAGGGCCTACACGTGACAAAAATTCACACTGGGCTGGGTAGGATCCCCAAATCCCATTGCAACAGGGGACCAGCAGAAGTCCACGACTGGACAAAAATCTCCTCTTAGTTGTCCTTGTGCTTGGATGGAGGTAAAGCAGCTGTCCCAGGGCAGTACAGGCTCAAAGGAGAGCAGTAACACCAGCCTTGCTGCTCAGCTCCCAACTGCACCAGCACATCAAATATAATCTGGGAGTCCCTGAGTGACAACAGAGCCATACAGAACTATTTTTTGCATTATTGTCAGATTTTTAAAACGTTGTGGGAAGAAAGCAGTGGGGGAAGGGAGAGAGAAACTGGATCTTGTATTTCTTATTAGCAGAGGAAGGAGGGAGGTACAAGATCTGAGTTACCCTGTGAGCTCTTTACCTCAGAGGAAGGTGAACCCCACCTGGCAGAAATTAAATGTTAATGTATCAAATTATGTCCAAAAGCACATAAAGCTCAAGGGACACCTTATGATACCCTTTGAAAACAAGATCTAATTTAATTCATTTGCATATCCTGATACCCAATACTGCAAATTGTTCTTGGTAGGTTAATCCACTGCTACCATTAGGCTCCCTTGAGCTTATTGGAAAACTGTAGTCAACAAACTGCAGGCACTGAATTGAAGTGTCTGGTCAGGGAAAGCCAGATCAAACTACATTGTCTTAATTGTGACCTGTTTTGGGATGCAGAAGGGTGGCAGAAACCCTTGGTGGAAAGAAACAGTAAATTGATTTTGCTGAGAACCTCATCAATCACTGGTCACAGTGACCTATGGATCATTAATCTCATTAAAAACTTCAGCCTCGTGGCAAAAGTAATAGCAGACATACTAAAAGCGTGCAAATTAGATATGCTCTCACAAATGCCAATGGGTCTGGCTGGTGTCCCTCAGGAGAACTCCATTTCTAAATTGGGCAAACTTTTCACTGACTCCAGCTACAGCCAGTTACTCTGTGTCAGGTGGCATCTTTAGGAGCTGTGATAACTGCATGGAAGGGATGTGGTCTGTTAGTGAGTCAAGTTTATGTACTCAGTTCAGGGAAGGGAGAGCTGAACAGTGGGCATGGGACATGCTGTGACCTTCTTGACAGCCAATCTTTGCTGCCTGAGCTCTTTGGGTGAGGTGGTTCAAAAAGAGTCTGGGAAGCTGCCCTGGTTCTGGCCCAAATCAGTGGGAGGATATGGCCAAGGCACTGTGTTATGGGATACCATCTTATGTCACAGGCTGGGGAAAAGGACTGCCTGAGAAGGGGTATGGTTTCCAGTTGGGAACAAGTATGGCAGATTGAGAAATTGGGGTGGGGTGCCACTGGCTGTGGTCATGTCAGCTTGGGCTCAGTGAGCATCTTGCATGTAAATCACCCTCCTTTTTAGCACACTTTTGTTATTAATATTGTTGCTGCTACTGTTAATTTTCTTATCTCATTGCTGTTTCCAGTAAATTGTTCTTGTTTCAACCCATGATTTTTCACATAATCTCAACTTCATCCCTGGAGCAGGAAGTGGGAGGGAAAATGGGGGAGCAAGTGCTTGGCATCTTGTTTGGGTGAGTCTCAAGAGGGGCTGTGACAGCAACACAACGACAATACACAGGCAACGCTGATTTTCTGTGTGTCTGTGAATCCAAGGAGTTTGCACTTTCTTGAAGGATGATATATGTCAAAGAGTATAGTCAGCTGGTCATGTGGGTCCTTTCAAATACAGCAGAGCCCGTTGTATCACCAAGATCCAGGTTTTGCTGTCATCTGTAGAGTTGTAAGAGCATGCATGCAGTTGCCAAAACTGCTAATGTGCACAGTACAGCTGCAAAATTTGTACTTGTTTCTCTCAGACCTTGTGAACACAATCCATGACTGAGTGCATCTCTAGTCAGATGGCACCTGGCCCTGGTCTCCCAGGCATCCACGTACAGCCATATCAGCCCTGCTGAAGCAAGCCAAATAGCTACCTCTGTTTAGGAATTCAAGTGCATTTGAGAGGGTTGTTCTCAGGGATTTGCACACCCCAGACACTACCTACAAAGGCCAAGACACATTCACTTCCTCCTCCCAAGAATGTTCTCCAGTGGCCCCAGACTCATGCATGCAAATCTCACTCAGCTGTGCTTACCAGCCTCCCAGTTCATCTGAAGACCTGGGGAGCTCTATATCAATCCTCTTATGATTTGACTGCTTGGAATTTTTACTGAATCTTGTGATTAAAAAAATCTAAAATCTTATTGGGTGCAAAAAGTATTTCAGAGCTGCCATATTCAGCACTTCCAGGATATCTGCATATCACATAATGGAGGCTAGTTCATGCTGAGGGTCTGGCCTGCAGCAGTAAGTACTTTGACTTCATTTTCATCCAAACAAAGGCTGTGCATGTAGAGAGCTGTGATGCCAGTGATTATGCTGGAGCAGCTTGGCTGATGTGCCTCCATCTACCATGAAATACACCAGGTCAGGGCCCATGTGCCATAACAGTAAGCTCCATGTTGCACTGTCACCTAGGACTTGAGCATCTTACTGGGTCTGAGAGGTCTGGGACCTTAACAAGCCTTGCAACAGATGAGACTCTCTGAGGCCATTTATTCACCCCTTCCATCCTCACTGCCTTGCTCAGGACAAGTGGAGGGGCCCCAGGCATGAAGCCATGTTTCAGGCATTGCCTGTGGCTCTGGTAGATGTCTTGGCTGAGTTGCACTCACTGAAGAGATGAGAGCAATAGGATGTGTTTAGGTACAGCCGTGCTTAGGAAAGACATGTAGTGTAATTCAGCCATTCTCCAGCAGAGGTGGGCAGCTCGGGGCTCAGGACAAGACGCTCACCTCACCCTGTGCCCTGGGTGCTGCTGACATGTCCACACACACACAAGCAGCCTTTTCCAGCAGCCTCCTGCCCCTGTTTGCCAACAGTGACATCCAGACCCTGCAAGCACTTCCATATAACAACTTGCTATGTCACAGCTTGGCTGACAGTAAGAGTCAGGAATATAACTGGGGCAACAAACACCATCTGGCCAAGGCTGGCTCTAACAGGCATCTGTGTGTAGCCATCCATACCCTAGTTTGAGCTGGCTCTGTCAGCACCCCAGTGCATGAGGTTTTCTGTGGTAGGACTGGCATGGTGTACGGAGGAGGAAATGGCAGCAGACATGGTCAGAGCAGAAGCAAGCAGTGTGCTTTTGTAGCAGCCTCTGCACTCCTTTATTTGGCTTGGTCACCTCATGAGGAGGATGCTGATGGTTTTCTGCCATGCCTGGGGCAAGTGCATTCTGACCCTGGTGTTGGGAGAGTGAGGAGATGCTCACCTCCAGGTGCAGACTGCAGTGGAGGCTGATAAGATGCCAGGTTTGTTCCCAGAGCACTGCAGAGTGGTCACGGTTTGTGTGCTCCTGAGGGACACAGGCCATGCTGTGCAGGCTGCCAGGGAGCCAGGGCTTGCTCCAGGTGTGAGCTGCAGAGACAGTGTGAACAGGGCTTTGTCTCCTCCAGAGCAGGGTCACAGGACGTCCTGGTGTGTTTGAACACAGGGCACAAACCCAGGCTCAGCCATGAGTGCAGGGGAGCATAGCCCATCATTGCTTTTAGACTGTTGAGCTAAATGTGCAATGCCTAATGTTAATATTAACCTATATACTGAATGGTTTGGAAAGTACCTGTTTGTACTGAGCTCTCCCAACTGAAACATTTCAACTGCAGTGTTCTCAGCACAGAATTCATTATTCTGAGACTTGCTTTCCCAGTTAGCTGGAAAGAGCCTGATTGTTTTCACCCTTTCAATGATATTTTAGCTCCTCTAATAGGAGGAGCTTTACCTGAGGTAGATTGATGAGCAGAAATTTCTTTTAAAATGCTAAGAATATGGACAGATTACACATTCTCTGTGAATGGAACTTCTCATGTAATTGGTGTGAATTGAGGGAGAGCCTTTTTAAACTTCATTAGTAATGCAGCCAGTTCTCTCTTCTGACTGGTACAATGCATGTCTGTCGTACAAGGGTATAACTCTGAGCTGTGTACTTTATTAAATGTGAATATGCAAACATGAACTTAGACCAAACTCAGGGTTCTGCTTACACCTCAGCATGAACCCAGGGTCTCTCTCATGTAATTTTGATTGTTCCAGATGCCTGTCTCAATGCTTTCCTGATTAAAGAGCAGATAATATCCCAAATTATTGCCAGCAACCTGGACAGGAACTGCACAGCTCACAGGTACAGCATGGCTGAGCCTGTGGCCAGACTGCTGCTTTCACCTCAAGATTGTTGGTTTCATTTATAGCTTGCAGAATATCTGCCCTGCTTCCACAGATAATACACCATGGAGCTAAAGAGCTTAGGGAAAATATACTTTGTGGGAGTAGATGGAGAACATTTAGGTTGTTTTGTTCAGAGAAAAGTTGACTGAGGAAGGAGAACTGTGTTCAAACATAAAAAGGCACTGCAGAGAGGAGGGGATAACCTGTTTGTTACATATGCGGTGAGCAAGACAAGAAGCAAGGTTCTTGAATTGCAGTAAGGTAGAACAAGGCAAAAACTTCTTGTCAGTAAAGAGGTAAGTGGTGGAAACCACTTATGAGGAGGGCATGGAGCTTCCACCATTTCCCCAAATGCTAGTTGGGCATGCCATTGGCAAAGGCAGGGCATAGACCAGCACAAGCAGGGTCAGAAAGAGGAAGAGACTCAGCTCCCCATGGCAGATCTCAGGTCACCATGAGCAGCAGCAGGGAATCTCACTGCCTCTAGCTCCTCCATTAATGGGGTTGCATAAATATCTGGCACAGGTACAACTCGTTCAAATTTATTTTCAAAGCACAATCATTAAATGGCAGAGCAGAGGGCAGGTAAGCTAGTTCTTAGTTATCTGTGCTGCCCACCAGACCACAAATACTCCCATTCTCCTGACACATGAAATTAAGCTAGGCTGAAAATGACTTTTCACCTCAGTATGGCCTAACATAGGGGTGTTAGCAGCAGCCCCAAGTTCTAGGGGACCAAAGGAGACCTTAATTAGGAGCTGTGGCTTTTTCTAGAGAGAAGTGATTTGGTGGGCTACAAAAGTATTCAAAGTGCCCTCTCATGGAGGCCATCATGAGCAATAAGTGATCCTTGTGCCCCGGGTTTGTAAGCGGGTCATATTTTTACGATGTCAAGCATGCTGCTGTCTTTTCTGCAATAAAGCTCACCTAATCAAAACAAGTCAGAGCTTATCTAATCCCCTAGCCAGAGATATTTCTGTGGTGGCTACAGAGCCAGGTTTCCTAGCAACCTAAAAGGCATTAGACAGGGCTTTGTCGACATTTATCTGTTACACACAAAACCCCCTGTTTGAATAATATCATGGGTGTAACATCAACTGACAAAAGCCAGGAAATTCAGAGCTGGGGCTGATTTTCTATCCTTGCCTCTCATCAGGCTGAAAAACAAAAGGCACAGTCATGTGAGTGATGAGCAGAGCAAACCAACCTTTATGTTTCCTGGCTTTCTCCCAAATGAGATGCCATTCAAATTAGGTGCTTGGTATTAATTTCCTCTGTTTAAGACAGGTTTAATCCTCACATTAGGTAGCATGTTGGCAGTGCTGCCAGTTTCTCCATGGGCTACCATTTTTCCTTGGAGGGGCCAACTGGAGTGAGGAAAGAGATATCCCAGCCCATCTGAAACCTTTGGTTTCTCCATGGTGAAACCAATTTTCAGATCCATGGGTTTGCAGGTGAAGGCTGCAAGCCTGCTCCGTGCAGGGCGACCATGGCACCTCAGGAGATCACTGTTAGCCCAGGGTGGAGCCATGAGGACACACAGGTTAAAAACACTCCATACACAGGTTAAAAACACTCCATCTTCCTGCTAGTGCTCAGCTCTAGATACAGGAAGAGGATTTTCAAAGGTTTCAAGGGATTCTTGAGATGGATCTTGGAATGGATATTTTTTTCAAGAATTTTGAAAACAAAAGGTCAGGGGAAAAAAGGATTTCATGTAGGTGGGGTTTTTTTCCCAGACCAAAAATATACTGAGGACTAATGAATGATCTGAAAAGTGATACTTCAGTAATGTCTTTTATTTCTTCACTTGTAGCAATAGCAGTGTTTAAAATCTTACAACTGGAAGTTTGTGGAGGAGAAGATGAACGAAGGGATAGAAGAACAGCCATTGCTGCTGATTGTCATTTCAAATCCTTTGGGGAAGAGACTTCTAGAAGTGAATGGGAACTGATCACCTTTCTACAGAGTTCTTGAGTCATCCCACAGTATTTAACAGAAAATAATTATTTCACTTCAAATTGATATAATGTGGCTTAAAAGTGCTTGAAGATAAAAAATGTGTTCATTTACACAATATAAGTTATCAGCTGGGATGAATTAACTCTGAATTCTGTGCAATTCTGTACGTGTGCCATCTCTAAATAGGTAGATTTTCATATGTGTATTTGCACTGCTTTAGTAGTTCCATCTCTGGAGCTTTCACAAAATCATAACAGCCATTTTTACATTTGCTTGAGGCCTGACTGAAGGGTTTATCTCCACGCAAATTTTCCAGCCCAGCTGTGAAACCTCTGAAATGGATGGTAAAGAAACTTTTGATGAAACTTAACTATATAGTTGGGTACTTGGCTGCTGTAAGGGAAAATCCACCAGCTGGGCTTCCATCCCTCCATTCTTCACTGTAATCTTCATTAACATAAGAGTTGGTGTTTTGCTCCCCACACATGGATTCCATACTGTTTGAGCTCCAGGAGGCTGCTGGGATAAAGGCATGTGTACAGGCCTCTCTGCTGACCACAGCCAGCATTTCTTTAGCCAGCACAGCATGAATATAAACGTTACACACACCACAATGGAGAGGAATTACTATGCACACTATCACTTTCAAGCCTTTGAAAGAAACAGAAGCAGAAGGAGGTTCTTGCACTTTCTGCCGGCATCATCTTTGCTGTCCATCCATTTGTTCCCCATTTAGCCTCCCCACTGGCAAAGCCTCTATTATGTGCTCAAAGAGCAGACAATGGGAGCCCACTACGGCTGGCAATGCAGGCATTGTTCCATGGGCTCCCTATAGAAATCCCTGCCTTTGCATGACCCCTTTTCCAAAGTTTGGGTTTTTTCTCTCTTGAAGTGGGAGGGTAAGAGGGAAAGGGACAGAGTCTCACAGCTCTGTGCAGATCAGTGGTACGTTCGTGCCCATATATTGAGATGGATAAAATAGCCATAAATTTTTCCCAAAGTGCTTTTTTGTAATGCATGCATGAACTCACTTAACAAGCTTAAAATATTTAGTGAACACTGAAATGAATGGAAAGTGTGGGAGGGGGGGACAAAACTAGCAGAGATAATTGAATACACTTAGCAGTCATAGCAGCTTTACATAGCTGTATCATATTCTCTATGGATAACACAGCTGGGAAAATATGGTTAGAGTTTTAAAATATCTAGGCACTTCTGTCTTAAGATAGTTATCAATAATTGCAAACTTAAACATTAAATATTTTTGGCTTTGTTAAAATATATACCTTTTATTTAATGCATGATAAAATATCGTAAAATAGAGAACATTCTCCCCTTGGCATTTCTTCAGGACTCAGGTAAGCAAAAAGGATCTCTGAGTGGGGCTGTCTAGGAATCTACAGTCTGTCTTGGGGAAACCACAGGCTGCCAAAGACAAGTAAATTAAAACATAGAAGACAGGAGTCCCTCAGACTTGACAGCGTTTGAAATGCCAAATGAGAATAAGGAGATGGGTTGCTATAACACAGGTTCATATCACCTGTGAAACTGGCGAAGTCCTTTAGCACTGGAGAAAATCTTGCCAAATTAAATCATAAGTTTCTGCTTCATTCCAACTGAGCCAAAATTTGCTCCCTTGCCCTAGTTCTGACTAGGACCTCAAACCCACAGACTGCAGCAACACATCCATCTCAGCTCACACCTAATTATCTGCTTAATTAGAGCAGCACTGGGGAAAGTCTGCTCTTTGTTTTCCCTTTCTCTCTGCTGCCTGCTGCCCCTTGTAGCAGCACAAAGCTCTTTGAGTGGCTGAGCCTTCCTGGTCACACATGGCAGGTTCAAGGTGAAGGTTTCTTCTGTTGGGCTTTTCCTCTCTTCTGAGACAATTGACCTTGGTGTCACCATGCAGCTCCTCCCCAGGCCACAGCACTGGCACTGCAGCCACTGCCTCAGCTAGAGCTGGAGACTAACACATGGCTGTTTAATTTGGAAGAGGAATAGGAAGGTCACTGAGGAAGGTAATGCAGTCCTGTTGATTGAACATGTGGATAAGGGCACCACAAAAGCATAATCTGCTTTATTGGGATGCGATAAACCAGGTTTATGTGGGCAGTTGGCAGCAGTGCTTCTGAGTGTTACTCCATCAGATAATCCAGGCAGCAGAGCACTGATGTACCCTTCTGATCCCCTAATATGGCTCGAATCTGAAGATTAGGTAATTTTCATATTTGTAGGGTTTTCTAAAATGATATTATTTATTTCCTACTTTTTTCCTGTTTTTTTACTTATGAAATTCTTATTTCTGTAACTAAGCAAAAGTAGTCTAAGAGGAATATTTCTGATACTCCAAGGGAAAA